TATGAAGGGCTACATATTCTGTAAAGTGAAATTTTTGATGAACAAGGCCTTTCATAAAAAGTAAGCATTTGAAAAGATAGTGTTTCCTTTCTTCTATCATTTATACTTTCATTTGAGGATTGATATTATTTCCTGTTAACTAATGCATAAATACACACTTTCCTTAATAATAGGAATTTCCTTAAAGTTTATGTTGGTTTTCTGTGAATCAGAGATTGAGCAAACCAGTCCCAGCAGCCTACACTGCTGTTTGATATAGGGCAAATGTAGTGAGTGGTACCAGATAAATCTGCAACCCACTGTTCCCACCTGTGCCCTGTTCTTATTTTTGTGCTGCCCCAGATGTTTGAGAAACATCATTTTTTCAAATGAGAGTTGTGGTCACTTGTCACACTGAGATACCCTCTATCATTTGAGGCCAGCAGAACCTGAGCAGATGCTCTCATTTCTGCAAATGCAATAAACACAATTAAACCTTTAACTGATACACTTGTAAATGCAAATGGTAGTTCCATTTCTATGTGAGGGAAATAACTGGTTTCCTTTACTGAAATCATTTGAAGGGAATCCCAAGACATGAAAGTATGTGGTGAAATAGTGAAAGAACCCTTGTGAATGGATACATTTGCAACCCTGGACAAATTATGAAAGAGATGGAAAACACAACCAATGGTGTCTCTGAAACACCACCTTTCTTTCCTCCCTTCCCCTTTTTAAATGGCAGTGACAATCAGTGATGTTCTTCAAGCACACTGCCAACAAACTTTCTCCAATTTTCTCATTAGTAAGTGGAAGTATTTATTGTGCATTTCTTCCAAGTCAGGAGTAAGGGAGGTAGTACTAATAAAGTGAATGCATGATGAAGGGGAAGCTCTCTGGGTCCTCTCCTCAAGTAATGGAAGTTAGGGCTCTGCACCATGGCACTCTGAGGGAAATTGGTCAAGTAGAACAGCATGAGGTGATATTTGTGTCTGCTTTCACATTTTAAGCAATTTGTAGCAAATGCTGTGAGATGTGTCAGTGAAAGAGGTGTGAGTGTTCTGTGCATGAACTGGGGTTGCCTTGGGGCTGTAAAGATGACAAGATTAAAATAGGATGATTCGTTATGATTTACTATAGTAATATCTTCCATTTTATATAGTGCTGCATTTTTCCATGGAATAGAGATTTATGGAATTTCTCATTTAAGAAGTATTCTAGGATCTGTCTTGCTCAGCCCTAAAGCCATTCATGCACCTAAGAAGTACAATTAGTATGTTTCCATATAAGGGGATGCTGGTGCAGAACTGCACTGATCAGAGTCCACATGTGGAATCAGAAATCTTGTGCTCAGACTGAACTCGAATAGGGTTTGCTGCTTTCTATTGCAGTAGATTTTTGTTACTGTCTCACCAATCTCTGTGGAGTCAGCTGAGTTCTGATGGTTATAAAATGATCCTTGAATGCTCCTTCAGATGTATCTCAGCTTTCATCTCTATAAGATTTTGTTTGAAAATAAACTCTAACAGTGTTAATATTTCTAAAAGGAAAAGAAAACCCAACTCAACAGTATTTCTTCAACTTAGCTTCTTGTATCTTTCTCCCTGATTTTCTGAGTTATTTCTCAGACACAACCATGTATGGGATACATACAGTCACCAGTGGTCTTGGGATACTCTTTTTGGTAAAAGAACAACAGATAGGAATGAGCAAGACATCCCAGTTCCTAGATACTTGCACTTGGGTTTTGCACTGCTGGCTGTAAAACAAGGGGTGGGTGCCTCGGTGGAGGATCCTTGATGGTGGAGATTCTCTCCAGAAGAGGGAAGAGGCATTTGCTATCATTCCATAAAACTTGTCTGCTTTCCCTTGACCTGCATAATGACACTTGTGTAATTTTTATTTGGTAGGTGTTGGTGTTGATGGCATAGGGTACAGAAGTACCTTGTTTTCAGTGTGGGTTTTTTTTGTTTTTGTTTTGTTTATTTTTTTTTTTTTTTACTCAAACAATTTACTGTACTAGAAACTAGTATGGAAACAGAGTAATTGCATATTCCACTTCCTCCAAACAAAGCCCACATGCTGTCCACTGGGAAGGCTGTCATGTCAGAGGTAGGTATATAAAATAAGAGGTGCTTAGAGGTCCTAGAGGTGCTAAATATTCACAGCTCAGCACTTTTGAAATGGTCTGAAATATGTGAACACTCCCTAGATGCTCTGAACATAGAAACCCTGCTGAAATCACAGAGCACAACCATACATGGCTTAAAATTTAAGCTTTAGAAGGCTGGCAAAATATTTGTGTACTTCTGTATTCCATGACTGCTCTTATGTTAAAAAGTCTCAGATCTTTACATTAAAAAATTGTTCTTTTTTCTCCTCCTTCACTTCAGGTAATATAGGTGTAACGAGTTTCAGCTCATCGGATCTGACTGATGTAAACTAAATTTGGGTATTATGTGCAGTCAGTATACCACAGTGAGGCCTTTGACTCACAGAAAGAAGTTGTTTTTTAACTGGGGTGTGTGTTTTATCATGCTTATACATTTCTATATTGATGGTAAAAAGACAGGAATTATTTTAATAACCTGCAGATCCTTTTTTTTTTTTTTTTTAAATTTCTGGAGCAGGAATGGCATGCTTCCTGGAGCACTAAATAGGAAGGATGACCTACTTTAGTTAAAAACCACAGGCGAACTGAACCTACTTTTTCAAAGCAATCCAGGAAGCAATCCCATTAAAACATGGTCTTGAAATCTTAATGTGCTTTTTATACAAAATTGCTGTGCTAGGAAGAGCTGAAGAAAGCTTTCATCTGACACTGGGCAAAGTCCCTCCATACGGGCAAGCAGCCCCTCTCTCTGGTCCATTTGCGAGGTGACAAGGAAAGGCAATGTTGTTTTCTGTAGCAAAATGTCTTCAGCTTTTTCCTAATTTTTTTTCCAGTTTCTGTTGAATCAGTTAAATTCTGGAGCAAGAAAGTTTATTACCTTATCCTGCACCATTCTGAACCTTGTAATGCAGGCAATAATACCTGTCCTGAGCAGCTTGACTTCTTTCATGTCTTCTCACCATGGACTCCCCAGGAACTTGCCATACTGAAACAACTACCTACATGTCTACTGCTATATTTTCTTTTACTCAGTGTCTTGTCAGCAGATTTAAGTGTTTTAGAAAATACCTGAAGTAATGTGATTGCAGCACTGTCTTCAGGATACCTAAGAAGGTGTCAGTGTGATCTCTGAAGGCTGTATGTCTGGAAATTAAAACAGACTATGGTTCTGAGGTCACTCTTAGTGTCTGTGTCAGGGGTGGGATTCAGAGCTCTGTACAAAGGGCAAAGGGCATTTACAAAATTTCTTATTTGAAGGTGAATTGGATTTCTGCTACTGGCGTAGGTACATGATGCTACCGAGGCAGATTTGCAGAGCAAAAAAGGTTGTTTGCAGTCATTCTGGAGCGAATCTGTTCACATTACTGCAATACAATGGGGCTGGGGGGAGTAGGCAGTCTTACTGAAAAACTGCAAACTGCCAAAGATTTTTGAACCATCTTGCTGACCGTTCTAATGCTGTCACTGTTTTGTTCAAGTGTGAATCAGACTTACTCATTTTAAACCACATTGCTGCAGATATCACCTAGCACAGCTGGCTTGTGATCCAATGAAACATGCTGCATTAGTGCATTTACCTATAAATTCTATCTATTTATTCTACCTCAGAGGTACCATTTGCAGCTTTAAACTATGTGCTGCAAGCACAAAATGGGAAGTACGTACTGAATCTTGAGAGTTGGAAGAAGCAACACTCACTTTGCCAGTTTTTCATCTGAAACAGGCGAAGAAAACAAATGCAATTGATGTAAAAATACCTGTTAGTATTATCTCCATGTGTGTTACAAAAATATTGCCTTTTTACTGTATAAAATACTGTACTTTTAAACATTTTAAACATATAATATTGCATATAAAGCATGATGCTTAACCTCCTGGAAATCAGTCTAAATTATTGAAAATACTAACTGTATTTTCAGATTTGCAAGAAATGGAATTTGTGATGGAAATCAAGATCGTACAGTTGGAAAGGATGCTATAGATGGTATAACAAGTCTGTGGTGTATGTGCCTCCACGCTTGTCACTTTGCTGCAGCTCCTTCTGGCAGGGGCAGCTTGCAAACACTCCTTGCAAAACAGAAATGGCAGCCCCTCTGCTGAAGGATGATCTCCCTGAGCTATGGTTTATTTATGGTTTATGGCATTTTACAAGATTTGCTTCCAGCCAAGTGGAAGAAGTGGTGCACAAGTGATAGGAGGTTCATTCTAAATGACACACATAAATATCTGCAGAGTTGTTTCAACATTGGATTCCCAGCCTTCTCTGTGGTTTCCAAAGTTTTCAATTTCCTTCAGCATAAATCAGACAAAGGTTGTGTACTTCAAACAGTGGTTACAAAGGCACATGTTGCATAATTCTGCTCCTGTGTTGGGGTCCCACTCTCCAAAAGTGTTTGGAGCACTGTGCTAGGCAAGCACACAAAGTGAACAACCTGACTGATACATAAAAGTACCCTTCGTTCTTGTGTGTGGCTTGAAAATATCTTTTGAAATTTGAAATTGTATGGTACATTTGGCCTTTAATAATGGCAGCGATTTAATGTTCTACTAAAAGGCCATTATTGAGGTGGAGTGTCCATGTACCCAGAGGAGCAGTCTGGGTTTTTGTTACTGAGCAATACTACTATTTTTAGGTAAGAAAAGTTGCCTTTAGCAGCTTCCCAGTCTGGCGTTTCATGATGGAGATGCTAATTTCCTAGAGAGAGAGCTCCAGGAACACAGCCTTTAAATATTGATGAAAATCAGGAGCTGTACCATCTCTGAAAAGAGACAGACAAAGACGAAATTCAACATAAAAATACACTTAGCATCTTAGAGCTCCAGGCTGCTCTGGGTCTGTGCGGGGTCAGGCCACCTCACTGCCATGTTCAGCTGTAAATATTGAGCACACCAACACGTCGGTGCCATGCAAGGGCTGCAGGTGGACTAACACAGGCGGCCCTCCAGCTCCTCATGCCTTCACCCTCACCGCCAGGATGTTGTGATAAGAGGAGAAAAGCTGCTCTGGCTCCCAGGCAAGAGGTGAAGAGTTCCTGACTCCCTCGGACACTTAGGACCAGAACCTTCCCCGTGCAGGGTAGGTACCTTTCCCCAGGCAGCCACACAGACCGATGGGTCGGCAGCGGCACCGCTCCTGCCGCGGCTGTTGGGGGAGCAGGAGGCACGGCCGCGCTCCCGTGGCCACACGCAGCCCACGCTCACCCGTGCCCGGCCCCGCTCGGCCCGGCCGCCGAGCCCGCCCCGCCGCCGCTGGGAGCTCCCGGGGGCGGGGGAGCCGCTCCCCTGCGCGCCCGCCCCCGCTGCCGCCGCCGCCCGGGGCTGGACGCCGAGGCATGAGGAGGAACCTCCCCGGCGGGCGGGCTGAGGCGGGTTCGGGCCCTGTGCGGCTGCGGACCGGCCGCTCCATGCGGGCTCCGTTCCCCCCGGTCGCTCGCCGCCGCTGCCGCCCGCGCCGGGATGGAGGCGCAGGGCAGCCGCCGGCGGCACCTCCCCGTCCTGCTGCTCTGGGGTAAGTGGCTGGCGGGGCCGGCCGGGGACGTCCCGGCAGCGTGCGGTGCGGCTCGCCGCTACCGCCCCGGGACTGCTGCAGCGGGACCGGCTGGGCATCCTCGCATGTGCGCGGGCCCCGAGGGCAGTGCTTCAAGCCGGGGCGTGGGGCTGAAGTTCGGGGAAGGAGCGCCCCCGCTGTGGCTTGAGCATCGCTTTGGGAGGGGGTCTCCGGGCGTCCCTTTGCCGGCGTGTTGGGACGCAGCGGGGATCGCTTTCCCTCCGGGGCTCTCCGTTCCGAGCACAGCGGCGGCTTCGCAGTGGGAGCATTCCGGACGCGCAGCGGGGCCGGGCGCTGCCTCGGGGCCGCCGGTCCCCTTCAGCATCGCGCCGACGTCGCCGAGGGGAGTCCTCGAACAGGGCGTCTAAGCCCCAGGGAAAACTTCTCGCCTTAGTCAGGCTTTCCGTCTTGGATCCCACTCGGGTTTTGGGGAGGTGTGTTTGGCTGTTGGGGAAGGTTTTTTCCTGCAAGACTGAAGGACTCGTTCTGTTAGAGTGGTTGAGTTCCAAGCACGTAGTTATCAAGTTATCAAGTGCAGGTATCCTTCAGACACTCTTAGAGTGCCTCGGCTGCTAGAAAAACTATTTTATTGCTCCTTGTCAGGTAGATTGTTTTGGGGCTCTCAGATTTAATGTCTTGCAGTCATCTAAAGTTGCCAGAAGTCGGCTCTGATCATCTTCACTCAACACTAAACTGAGAGATACAGTTGATTCCCTGTGAGTCACACTTAAGGGACAAAAATTCAGGCCTGGTACCTTTAGAAGATGTATTTGAGGACTTCAGGACTTTGTTTGCTATTTTAGACCCTTTCCAAAGTACAAAACTGGTAAACACTGCATGTATTTCTATGGAAAAACCCACAAACAAATAGACAGTATTGACAGTGTTCAGTAGCATCACCCTTAGCTGGTCTGTTGAAAGAATGGCATGTCACATGCACAAGTTTCTGATTCTCTGTGGCTTGAGGACTTCTAAAATCTTACCTTAGTTGCTCAGATTTCTGTTACTCCTCAGCTGAAAAGGAATAAAGAGATGGCCAGCACTTGTCTTGATATGTGAAAGATGTATGCAATCTTGAACGTAGGGAACTAGGCAATAATCTTTTTGTATGGGGAGACTTTTTGATGTTATGGTGTTTTTTGCAAAGAAGAATTCCCCACTGGAGATATATTTTCAGAGATTTACTAGAGTGAAGGACAGTGTCCCTGTGGCTCAGGAAGCTACAGACAGACATTTTTCACCAGAGAGGCACAGATAAATCAATTGTGCTAGATATTTTTAACTGTGCTAGTTCCATTCTTAATAGAATAACACACACACAAAAGATTTTAAGAATATCTGTAAACTGATAATACATTACTTTTGCTTGGAATTGGAAGGGTAGATATAATCAAGGACTAATGAAATGAGATTGATTTCCTAGTGGAAAAACCTTAAGAGTTCTAGGATGTGAAATTAAGGGTTTTTAATAAGAAAAGCATAACGTGGTAGAAAACTAAATTTCTTTTTTGGGAATACAAATACAGTTTTAAAACTAGTTATTTTGGAAGAATTTTTACTTTAATTGAATGATCATTCATAATTCACACTTCTTTTGATGAAGGGGAGAGCTGTGACCTCTGCCATTTAGGTGAAACTACCATTTCTCAGTGTTGAGCTCACTGAAGGCAGTGGGAAGCCTGTCTGGGTGGGGTGTGGGACTGTTCTGTAACCTCAGGTGACTACTTTCTGGATCTTTCTGCCTAGGATTCTTGACACATTATCTCTATGCATAACTACTTGTGGTGTTGTCCATCCTTAGTGAGGATGGCAAAAATGCAGTGATTGTAGGAGAAGTTGGATTTGCTGAGTGTGGAGGGGAAACAATGCATCAGCTGAGGTACTTGGTACACAGGCATGCCATCAGTTCTGTGAAGTGCAATAGCATCCAGAATGGGGCAGAGCTGGAAACACCATCTGTCAGGTGAAATCTCTGATTTGCCTAGCAGAGCTGTAGATACTTTGAAGACACCTACTGACTTAAGAAATAATCTAAGAAATAGTGTTGTATTTACCATCATACCAAATTCTCTTAACTATACTTCTACGTATGGAAACTAGGTAAGAAGAAACGTAAGGGCTTGACCAGGACTTTTAGCAAAGTGGTTTTTTTACACAGGTCATGGTTTTGGAATCCCTGCCCAAATGTTTCTCCTTCATTCTTTATGTAAAACCTGCATTTCAGTAGTACTACTTGTATTTTGTTGCCGCAGGCCTCCAGTCGGGTAATAATTAGCATTGACTCCATGATTTGGGAAGGCTGATCAATCACTTTATTCTACGATATCATGCCATATCATCTTATACTATACTGTACTTATTAAGAAACTCGTAACCCTTGCAGACAGTCTGATACAGCTCTGACCTACTTGGTCTATCCATCCAAACACCATCACCAGTGGCTGATTAAGAAATCGGCCTTTGGTAAACAATCTCCATAACACATTCCACACAACAGGTGCAGCACGTGGAGGTACGAATTGTTTCTCATTCTTTCCTCTGGTCTTCTCACAGCCTTCCCCAGGAAAATGCCTGAGGAAGTCTGTTGCTCTCTGAGGCCAGAGAGCTGCTGTCACAGTATTTGAGTTAAAAGATGCTACCAGAGTAAAGCTGGGTATTTTTTAAATTCTAGAGTAATCTTTCTCAATATATTTGTATAAACGTACATCAAGAGAGATGGTGTGACCCTTATCTGGAGCAGTTCTTGTATGCAGATTTCAAAGATAGTAGGTTTTTGCATTTCATAACGCTGTTTGCACAGAGGCTAGCCAAGCTTAGTGCTTTGGTCACAGGTGAGCAGCTGAACAGTTGGAAACAGCCTCGTCCCAATTACATTTTTACTTTCTGTTTTAAAGACTATACCTCATCTGCAAACAATAATGAAAAAACTGTGTATAAAAGTCCAAATTCTCTAAGGTCCTGAGCTCCCCTTGTGTGAAACATGGCATATGTAAGTCCTGAAGAGTTTGGATTCCAATGATAGAAAAAAAATATCCAACAGGAAACAATTTTAGCAGGTTAAAGTTTGAAAACAAAATCAAAGGTTTTTTTTCCCCATTATTTTCTTATGAATATCATGCTGTTCTGCAGCTGCAAAGGGTGGAACAAAGAAAGGGAATACCGTCGTAGGAGTTCTGAATTTAATAGACCGAGGCAAGTGTGTGTGGGTAAAACAAATAAACCTTTGCAAAACGGAACATCTTATTCTGAGACCAACCACAGAGTTCTAACTAAAACACTTCTCTACCAAAATGATGCTTCATATTCTAAAGATGCGATTGTCCACACAAGGCAAGCAGGAAGACAGGCAGCAGACCCCACCAACATCCATCCTGAAAGCAAAGAGTCTGGTGTAAATACAGCCTGTGTTCCGATTTGCTGTTGGATCCAGGCATTCCTCTCACCACCCTTCACTCTGTTTGTGTCTCCTAATTCTTGTATTTGGGAAGGTGTTGATTCTTTCCTAAGATCTACGTGTGCAACAAGGGACAGGTTCACACCAGTTCCCTTGAGAGGGTGAATGGCAGGACTGTCCCTGTAATGTCAAACGGACTGCAGGTGGTAGCACAGAGCACTGAATGCTCTCTCCAGCTCCAGCTTGGTCCCAGGCCTCAGGAGGAATGGCACTCCATTTTTAAGGTAACTCCAGGCTTTTAAACCCTGATTTTCTGCAATGAGATCCAATCCTGGAGACCGTTTAGCTAATGTAAACTCTTGCTCCTAAATTAGTAAGATCTTGCTATCTACATCCTCATTGAGGTTTTAAATACCTTTGGTGTCACAGGACTCTGCCTGTAGGTTTGTTTTGCCTATGAAGCAAATCTCAAGAGACTATGTAGTGGAGACTGACTTCTACACTGAGATAGGCAGGTGCTGCTCTAGGTGCAGATACACACAAAGTGCACGATTTGAAGGAAAGGGTCTCGAGCTGAGCTCAAGGGGAGCTATGGGAGGTTTTGCCAGTTGAGTTGTGTTTAAACATTGCACCGCCGGTAGTTTTTTGTACCATTTGTGTTTCAGTTTCTCCCACCTGTCTACTGGTCACTGAGATGATTCGTTGCTTGAGTTGCAGATGAATCAGTTTCCAGTTTGCCTTACCAAGGAAAAAAATGGAATGAGCGGTCTCTTACAGAACACCATTTGCTACCATCTGTGTCTTGGCTATTGAAATTACTACTTGAGAGACGCTTGAAGAAAGCAAACTCTGTTTTCATTTGGGGCTCAGAGAGATTAATTTTCACAAGTATAATGAAGCCTGTTTTAATTCACACCCTTTTAGTTTAGTGAAAGCTGTTACATGAACCATTTTATTTCGGAACAGAAATTTAGAAGTGTATTATTTTGTGTTTTATGGAAACAGCCTGTATTTTTTCTGAAATAAGAATCTCTTCACAGCTAGGCTTTCATTGAAATAAACTGGAAAATGTAAATGGAAAAAAAATCACATTATTTTAATGTGAATATATATGTAGAGCAACCTGAAAGCTTCT